GCTGTTCAATCCACTCGGCGATGAAATCTGTGATTGCTTGGGACTTGATAGCCTTCTTTGCTTCAAACTTGATATCTAATGGAAGGAGTTCAATCGCCCACTTGGCCACTCGACCAGTTGCATCTCTGTTATGCAGAATCTCTGACAATGGGGCGTCGCTGATGACTGTAATGGAGTGGTCAGAGAAGTAATGTGCAACCTTCTTCGTGGTCATGTAAATCCCATATACAAGCTTCTGATAGTGAGGGTATCTTTGTTTTGAAGGGGTCAAAACTTCAGATAGATAATAGACTGGGCGCTGAACTCTGAAGGCCTTTCCTTCTTCTTCCCGCTCGACCGTAAGTACTATACTGACAACTTGTCCTGTGGCTGCAATGTAAAGCAGTAGAGGCTCTTTGCTGATTGAGGCAGCAAGCACCGGCTGGGTGGAGAGCAGAGCTTTGAGCTCTGCAAATGCTGCGTCAGCTTCTGGAGTCCACTCGAACTTGTCAGACTTCTTCATCAGTCGGTAAAGAGGCAACGCCTTTTCACCGAGACGAGAAATGAATCGACTTAGAGCGGCCAAGCAGCTTGTAAGCTTTTGGACATCGTGCACGCGTACAGGACGCTTCATCCGGAGTATGGTGCCAACTTTTTCAGGATTGGCATCGATCCCCCGTTCGGAAACGAGAAAACCGAGTAACTTTCCACCTGGAACTCCGAACGTGCACTTTGATGGATTGAGCTTGATATCATACCTTCTGAGGTTGGCAAAGGTTTCAGCAAGGTCAGCCTGCAGGTCGGAACCTTTCCGTGACTTGACCACAATATTATCCATGTATGCCTCCACATTCCGACTGATTTGAGTGAGTAGACACTTCTGAATCATTCTCATGAATGTGGCTCCGGCGTTCTTGAGGCCGAACGGCATGGTGACGTAACAGAAGCATCCGAATGGAGTGATGAAAGCTGTTTTGATCTCGTCGGTTCCATACAGACGGATCTGATGGTACCCGGAATAGGCATCTAGAAAAGACAATCTCTCGCACCCCGCAGTCGAGTCGATTATTTGGTCGATGCGAGGGAGAGGAAAATGATCTTTCGGGCAGGCCCGATTGATATGTTTGAAACCAATGCACATGCGAAGTGACTTGTCCTTGGGGACCATGACGACATTGGCGAGCCACTCGGAGTGGTAAATCTCTCGGATGAACTCCGCTGCTAAGAGCCGAGCTACCTCCTCGCCAATGGCTTGCTTCTTCTGGACGGCAGACCGTCGAAGATGTTCCTTCACAGGCTTGAATTTTGGGTCGACTCGTAGACGGTGCTCAGCCAGCCCTCTGGGAACTCCAGGCATGTCAGAGGGCTTCCATGCGAAGATGTCCCAGTTCTCATGGAGGAGCTGGACGAGCGCTTCTTCCTATTTGGAGTCGAGCGTCGTTGAGATGTGGGTCGGGGCAGCATCGGGGTCGGTCGGGTGAATGTGGACTGGCTTTGTTTCACCGGATGACTGAAAAGCTGATTCTAAAGCGGGCTTCTTGGCTCGTAGCAATTCACTCGGATCGGCAGTCTTTTGGTACTCTTGTAGCTCGACCACTGCCATCTGAGCATCAGCGATCTTTGAGCCTTTCTGAAAACACTCTTCTGCTTTCTTTCGGTTGCCTGTAACAGTGATTACACCTCTGGGGCCGGGCATCTTCAACTTGAGATACACGTAGCATGGTCGAGCCATGAAGCGTGCATAAGCTGGCCGGCCCAGAATAGCATGATAAGCACTTTGGAAGTCCACAACCTCAAATGTCAACTTTTCCCTGCGGTAATTCTTTGAGTCACCGAAAACCACGTCGAGAGCAATCTGACCGAGTGACTCGGCTTTCTTTCCAGGAATGACTCCATGGAAGCTCATGTTGCTGGCGCTGAGCCTGGACATCGGAATGCCCATCCCTTTTAATGTTTCGGCGTACAGTATGTTCAGGCCACTGCCACCATCCATCAGGATTTTGGTCAGTCGAGTGCCTTCGACAATTGGATCGACCACCAAAGCTTGCCTCCCAGGGATGGCAATGTGCATAGGGCGATCAGACTGGTCGAATGTGATGGCGGTCTGAGACCACTTCAGATAACTGGGTGTTGCCGGAGCAACCATATTCACCTCACGGTTAATGACTTTCAGTCGACTTTTGCTTTCGACATCAGCAAAAATCATCAGGGTGGAATTGACTTGGGGGTATCCATCGTCACTGTCTTCCTTGTCCTCGACTCTGTCCGACTCTTTTTCCTTATCCTTGGACTGTTTGCCTTGAAACTGCTGGATTAGGAGCCGACACTGTCGAGTGGCATGCTTTGGGTAAATAAAATTACCCTCCTCATCTTTCTTGGTGTGGATGTGACATGGCAGATCCAAAACATCTTTTCTATCTTGATCCTTAACTTTCTTGGGCTTCCAGGGGCCTTTGGGTTTTCCCTTGAAATTTCCCTGGGTTGCGGCCAGGGCCTCCCCAGGGGCGGCCGGCTTGGCCTTCCGCTTCTGCTTCCGACTGGAATTGCCTCCGGTTTCCTGGGCGACTGCTTTCTGCTTGCCACTCTGGAGTCGATCTTCATCTTCTCCGTTAGCGTATTTGGTGGCAATTTCTATCATCCGATTCAGGGACATTTCTCCGGTCCAACCGAACTTCAGGTTCAACTCCCTGTTCTTGACGCCTTCTTTAAAGGCACAAACTACTTGGTGATCCGGTACGTTCTCAACTGTGTGATGCAAAGTGATTCACCTCTGGATGTAATCCCTCAGAGTTTCACTCGGCTTCTGCACGCAAGACCGCAATTCTGTAAGGCCTGCGGGTCGCTTGCATGTTCCCTCAAAGGTTGTGACAAACACTCAAGAGAGATCCTTCCAAGTGTAGATGCTGCTGGGTGCTAACTGATTCAGCCACGCTCTGGCCGAGCCCTCTAACAGGAGAGGCAAATGCTTCATAGCCACCTCATCATTGCCACCGCCAATCTGTACAGCCACTCGGTAATCTTCGAGCCAAGTGTCAGGCTTAGACTCATCGGTGAACTTGCTGACTCCAGTCGCCAACCGAGAGTTGGGAGGAATCACCGCGGCCCTTATGGCTCGACTGAAACACTCTGGCCCTGAAACACGTATTCTGCTGCTGGCGGGCGCATCTCTGTTCTGGCCTTCCCGATGAGCCCTGTTCCTGTCAACCAAGCCTTGAACGAGGACATATCTCGCGTCAAAGCCTGGGTCCCTGGGGTCGACGGGAATCCTCTGCCCAACGCTATGAGGGCGCCTGTCATCTCGATGTCGAGGCGCATATGGCCCACTCCTCGGGGGAGGGGTTGGCACTCGACGTCGATCATCACGATCGGATCGGTGATCATACTGCTCATTCCTTCTGTACTGATCATGCCGGTCGCCACGTCCCTCACGCCTCGGGGGCGACCGCGGGCTGTGAGCCGACTGGACTGTATCTGTTGCAATGGATCGACTGTGGATCCTATTCCGCGACTGAGAAACAGAGGAATTCTGGTTTCCCGCCGCCCGGAGCAACGCTCTGATCTGTAACAAGCCCCTGCCAGCCTCCGACTGGGAGGGCTGAATCGATTCTGCTATACGGGCCGCGGCGGCCAAATTCTGAACTGGGGTTTGGTATACCTGCGTCGGCGGGAAGAGCTGGCGCCGACTAGACTCGGGAGCCCGCTGACGCGCTTGCTCGTCGAGTGCTCGCTGGAGATTCTCCAGTCGAGTGCGCTCGGCCAAATTAGCCAAGCGCGCGTCCTCCAAGGCTCAGGCCTCGGGGGACTCTCCGACGATAGGAGTGCGGAGTGCGTCCGTGTTCCGGTGGCGAAGCTCCTCTCGCTGTAATGACGTGAGAGGTTCGGGGAGATACTCATCGTGGGGACGCGACGGGTCGCCCCCACCCGCGCCTCCATCAGCGCGAGGGAAACCGGGAGGACTGTGCGTTCCATCGACCGCCAGGATCTCAGCCGCTGGGTCGCTGCTGTCGCACTCGGATGCGGTCTCCGCGGAGCCAGTCGAACAGGCCGCAGAGGGATTCGTCGGGCTCGATTGCCGCGACTTGCGGGGCGGCCGACTGGCGAGCCACGGCGTGCCTCACCCACCTCTGAAGTCTCGACCGACCGGAGCGCTTGCGCCGGTGGGAGACAAAGCGGGGAGACGATACGGGGGCCGACCGATACTGGGTCGACGGCTGCCGCAGGAGGACGCCACGAACGCATGCGTGGAAATGCGTCGCACCGCGGACGGGGAGCGCGTCGACGTCGAGTGGCGCCTCCTGAAGCCAGGCGGAGTCGTCGGCGATGAACGTGAGCGCGCCGAGGCGGATCTCGCAGGCCCTCCACCAAAACTCCGCACGAAACCATGATCAAAGGGATCGGAAAATCGCGACTTCTCCAATCAGGCGCTAAGATTCCCGCCCCACGGTGGGCGCCAACTGTCGTGGTTCTAACTCTGACAGTGATGTAAGGGGGTATGTATGGAGAGGCTAGATATCAGCTATTGGGAAGTTGTAAACACACCAAGATGTACGAGTTCAGGCCCTTCGCAGAGGAAGTAACAGCCCTATGTCTCGGTGCCCGAAGGCGGTCGACTGGATTACTGGCGTGTGAATAACAGGGGTGCGAACCCTTCATACTGAGGAGGGGGGTGACTTATATAGAGTTCGCCGGCCCTCTCCTGCCCTCAGTAATGCAGGGTTTAAGGTACATTTAAGGTTGGGCGTTACTGGTAACGCCCCTAATAGAGTGCTACAATGACCATAAAGACTACTTAATAGCCGACCATTTGCCTGCGGAGTGACTTCAGATCTCCTGGCGGTCGAGTGGTTGGCTTCACGGTCGAGTGGTAGCTTCTTGGTCGAGTGTCTTGAACCCGTCGAGTGAGATACCTTCAAGTCGATTGAAAGGTGACTTCTTCTAGGGATGTCCTTGGGTAGGGCTCTTTGGACGGGTCCGTGCCCCTACCCTAGGTACATAGTTTTATCAGGGACTGCAACATTTACCTGGTATGGGAACCACATCATCTCCTTGATGCAGCACCCAAGCTAAAGCTAGCTGAGCAGGGCTGCACTGGTGCTTCCTGGCTAGTTCTTCCATTTTCAGATAGAGATGCTTGTTCTTCTCCAGGTTTTCTGCTGAAAACCGTGGGTGCCTTTTCTGTGAGAAAGATACAGCAAAGCCTAAGTAACTGAAAAGAACTGACTGCTGCAAATGAAGCATTTGACTGTCTCGGTACCAGATTGGATTCATCAGACACTTGCTCCGTGACTCCTCTTCCGCCGAAGAACCCGCGGCCGATCGGGCTGTAAGGAACAATTCCAATCCCCAGTTCCCTGGTGTCCATAGATAAAAGCAGAAGAATCACTTTGGACTGCCCGTTATGCATGGTGATCTCACAAGTATGTATAATTTGCAATGCAGAAAATAAACCTGCAGAGCGGCACAATCTCGGGCTCGATGTCACGAGCCCAGAGAGACCACTCCATCTGCACCGCGGAGACCGGGTGCACGGCGTGAGCACGCCTGATGGTGTCGGGGCTCGCCTCCGACAGCCCAATGTACCTGACCTTCCCCTCCTCCACCAGCTTCTTGAGCTCCCCGATCTGCAGAAGAAGCACGTCTCAGCACAGGAATTACAGTGAGCAACCGCAACAGTGAAAACACTCATGCATTGTATACACAGTTATTAACAGGATGAAGGGACTGATGAGGAGAGAGGAGACCGTGTCCTCGATGGGGGTGGCGGTGTCGACCCGGTGCTGGTAGTAGAGGTCGATGTAGTCGACGCCGAGGCGGCGCAGGCTGGCTTCGCAGCAGGCGCGCACGTACTCCGGCCGGCCGCACACGGCGCCCCTGCCCTCGTCGTACGCGTACTGCTGGATCCCGAACTTGGTGGCCACCTGCACCTGCTCCCTCGGCAGCTGCTTCAGCGCCTGTGGTGCACAGAGACAGACACACGCTTGGCTAGTCTGCATTCTGCAAAGGAGGTAAATCAGTGAGCAGAGCAGACCTTGCCGAGGAGCGTCTCGTTGGTGTGGGGGCCGTAGAAGTCGGAGGTGTCGAAGAAGGTGACGCCGCGGCGGAAGGCGTGGGCCACTACGGCGGCGCCGGCGGCGTCGCTGAGCGGGGCGCTGTAGGAGCCCGTCAGGCCCATGCAACCGAACCCAAGCTTAGACACCTGCCTCGTCGTTGGGTTGTTAGTTAGATTCTGTGCCCAACAAGAAGAGAAGATGATTAATGGATGGAGAGGGCAAGGGAGAAACCAACTCCAGGCCCTGGGCGCCGAGCCTGACGCGAGGAACCAGTGGCAGTGGGGTTTCCTCCATGGCGCAGCAAGGACCGTCGACGAGCAAGTCAACGGGGCGGAGACGGAAGCGCCGTGCTGAATATTGCCGGAACTTGCAGGGCAGTAGCAGCAGTGAGCAGTGACTCGGGTGGCCAACTGAGCGTATGTGCAAGGTAGCAAGCTTCGAGCATTTTATAGTACTTCCTCCGTGCACTCCTCACTATGCATAGGTAGCAAGACGTTTTGGATATTTTAATACTCCCTCCATTCTAAAATTCTTGTCTTACATTTGTCTAAATATGAATGTATCAAGTCATGTTTTAGTATAGATATATCCATATCTAGACAAATCTAAGACAAGAATTTTGGGACGAAGGGAGTATGAACTACACACGAATTAAATTGAGTGAATAAATACATTAAAACGTGTCCATATACACTGGATTTAGAATAAAAGTTAAAAACATCTTACAATAATGAACGGAGGGAGTATATACTATAGTGGCTCTCACTAACTTGGGTAGTGCGAAAGCCAGAGGAAACAATCCACTTTTGGGGCCATATCCTTTCCTTTTTCATATCTATACCTAATCTATATCTATATCTATATATTTTTTGCGATGTATCTATATCTATATCTAAACTATATCTATATCAACCTATATCTATATCTGACTATCTGTGTCTATATTTATTTATATATCATAAATTTTCGTCCATCGCATGAGTAGGATTTTCTTCGTATGTTGCCAACAACTGTATTTTATAAGCCTTGCCGATGCCTCCTTTGCCCATAGCTTTCCTGGGGTGGTCATAAATTGTATCAGCATGTACCAGCGATGCTTTGTTCTATGGGCCGCGTGATGATTTTATGACCCAAAGCCAGCCCATGCAGGTGCAACTCATGTGTTGCTTTACGGGTACGACAACTCGTGTGTTGAATTTCATATATATCGCTTTATGTCGTACATTTCAATAACCTAGTTATTAGAACATTTCAATTACCAAATCACTTTGTTACCATATGCATTTCAATATCGGATGCTTCACTATCAGATCAATTTGACAGCATATGAATTGCAGTACCAAATGCATTTTAATTACCATACCACTTTCAGTACCATATTCATTTCGATAACATGCACATGTTTCAATTTCAATACTACTTAAAAAAATATTTCAATAAAATTCAGTACCACATCCATTTCAGTACAGATGATAAATTTCAGTATAGTATGCAGTTCGATACCAGAGGCATTACAATAACAGATCACTTTGTTACCAGGTGCATTTCAATACCATATGCTTCACTATCAGATCACTTTCTTAGCATTTGCATTTCAACGCCAGATGCATTTCAGTTAGTAGGCCACTTGTTTTGAAATACCATAACCACTTTCAGTACCACATCCATTTCAATACCATTCATCTATCAGATTATTTTAGAAAATATATTGTTGCTATTTTTCTAGATATTTAAAATATATATAAAAAACATATATTTCAAAACATTGATTTTAATTATTTTAATATAGTTTTTAATTAATGTGATACAGAAATATGAAACTAAAATTTCAGTCGCAACTGTTAATGTGAAACTGAAATAGTGAAATTTAAATCACTTTGAAATGTATTCAAAGTTGAGCTTGTTCAAAAGGTCTTGTCACCAGGAATTCAAATATATATAATATAAAAAATGAATTTTGGTTTGGAAGCTATGAATGATTTAAAATATCACTTGAAAATAAAAGCGTTGTTTTATGTATGGGGAGAGGAAGAATAGAAAGCATGCATGCAACTTCCTTGCCTACACCTCTCTTTCCAAACGTGGATCCTCATCTAATTGTTTTCCCCTCCCCGTGTTGGATTTCTTCACACGGGCAGCAAGGTGGAGAGACGAGAAGGAATTAGGGAAACTCGAACGTGGATCACCGGGCGGTTTGGGCATTTTTCGCCATTCAGCAACGGTTATCAAAATCGTCTGGATCGGCCTGGATGTCTGAATTCCCGCAAACTAGCATCAAACCTGGAGAGGTTTGGAGGAGTCCGGACGTCCGTCGTGTCGTACTCCGACACCGCCTACCCACCAAAATAGCCCACCTAGAGCCCTTTTTTCGCACCCCCTGGTGCTTCTTATCCGCACCCTCGGGGACCGACGCTGCCGCTGTACCACCCCGGCCACCGCCAATGCCTTGTCGGACCTCCCCCGCTCCAACCTGACACTTGACACTTGATGATTATTATAACTTTTTTTTAGAGAAAACGCAAGAAGAGCTTGCATTTCATTGCTTTGGAAAGAAAGGAAGCTTCGGTTACAATCCTCCTAGGAGGGAATTACAGTGCCTGGGGGCATATCAGTGCATGTCCCAGGTTTGCGGCAAGATGGCACGAAGCCCTAGGGCGCCGGCTCTGGCCCAGAGGGCGGCCTCGTCTTTGATCTTCGTGAGCAGGTCGGACATCGAGGGCTGGCCTCTGTTGAAGACGCAGTCGTTGCGGTGCTTCCATATCATCCATGGGATGAGGAGGGTCGCGGAGGCGAGGCCCTTGCGCATGGGCATTGGGGTGTCATGTCGCGTCGTGCGCCACCAGTCGTTGAGGGAGATCTCTCTGTCGGGCGGGGCGCAGGGGAGTCTGAGCCAGTGCAGTACCTCATGCCAGATTTGCCTGGCGAAGGGGCAGGCGAGGGTGAGGTGGTGCATGGTCTCGGGGGCCTGGTCGCAGAGAAGGCATCGTGCGGGGTGCTGCAGGCCGCGGCGGGCGAGGCGGTCGGCTGTCCAACACCGGTCCAGGCGGGCGAGCCAGTGGAAGAAACGGACGCGCGGGGGTGCCCAGTTCTTCCAGGTGAGCTTCCATGATTATTATAACTAACATTGTTTGGCGCTGGATTATTCTTGCAGCGGGGGAGACAGAGCTGGCCAAAGTCACCAAGCATGAGATTAAAAAGGCTGAAATGAATGTGAGAAAAAGTATGATCACACGCAGAGCTTCAGTATATAGAGTTGATGCAAAGTCTGGTGTACCATGCTCCTGCTCTTTCTGTGAAGTATTGGTTGCCTGGAAAGCAGCCAAAAGGCCTTCAAAGGCATTCACATGGAGTTACACCTATCGCTTTGGATTGTTAGAGCTCCTCTTTGGCTCTTAACCAACTCGGTTATCATCTACCATAATCAACATTGGTGTTGTCACCGGGGTTACTGCTTATGCAGTGCATGCGCCTTTGTGTAAGTTCCGTTATGAAGAAATACGTGAAATGAAATTTCGGTCGAATGTTGCTGGGCTGGAATTATCTGTCTCTGAAAGCTAATGGGAGAGAGCCTGGAGTATGTGGAGTTGACTGCATCAGATGTGCATCACGCTTGAGTTCGTGACATTAAACCTGATAAGATCTTGTGATTTCGTGGTTACTGTCTATGCTGTGCACATTCCACATCCAGAAATGTTTGGCAAAACCATGGACCTCCACGGATCTCTATGTTTGTTCCGGATATCTGCCGCTATGCCGGTTTGTTCAGACGCCGCCATTTTATCCATTCAACTTTAAACAATCTACCCCACCCGTAAATTCAGGTGCTGCTATTCTATCTGCTCAATCTTTCTTTTGTAACGTTCAGTCTTTATCAAATGTTTCAAATATTCTCACCCAAGATGGATGGGTACGGCAAATCACATCTTACAGTCTCTGTCCTCTCTTACGTGTGCAGACAGAAATTTACATACTTCTTATTTGCAGTACATTAGTATTTTGTATGGTAGATTCACAAGGTACAAGCTGCACATTCAGCACAACATCAGATATCATGGCACGGTTGTTTCGTTCTCACTTGTCACTGTTTTGGTTGTTGTTCTACTTCTTTGGTGCGTCTGCATGGTTCCAGTTGGCATGGGCAAAGGAAGTATAACTCCTTCCACCGGCCACATCTTCTTCACGTATCTGGCTGCTAATTTCTTTCAGGTCATCTTCTGTGAGCTTTATCTTTAAGGAGTCAATGTTGGAGTCCAGATTCTTGATCTTGGTTGTCCCTGAGAAATTACAGAGCATATTTGTCAGTTATCAAATGCCAATCTACTGGAAAAATGAGCTTGATTACTGATGCACTGGTTTGGATCTTGGAAGCGACAACAAACGCAAGAGTTTTCTTTGTGGATAAATTAGGCCATTTTCGGAGGCGTCAAAATTGTTCATGGTTCAAAATCAACACCACGGCACAAACTGTAGAGCAAACAACCACAATGATATGTTCGCCTGCCTTGTTTCACGGCCAAATAAAGCTGGATAAGTTTCTCAAAGAGGAAACTGCACCAATACACAACATTTACCTGGTATGGGAACCACATCACCCCCTTGATGCAGAACCCAAGTTAAAGCTAGCTGAGCAGGACTGCACTGGTGCTTCCTAGCCAGTTCCTCCATCTTCAGATAAAGATGCTTGTTCTTCTCCAGATTTTCTGCTGAAAACCGTGGGTGCCCTTTCTGCGAAAAAGATACATCAAAGGGTTGAAGCAAGCCCAAGCAACTGAAAATAATTGACTACTGCAGATGAAGCAACTGACTGTCTCGGTACCATATTGGATTCATCAGAGACTTGTTCCGTGACTCCTCTTCCGCCGAAGAACCCGCGGCCGATCGGGCTGTAAGGAACAATTCCAATCCCCAGTTCTCTGGGGTCCACAGACAAAGCAGAAGAATCAGTTCCTTTATTACATGATCAGTAACTCGGGACTATCTATTATGAAAGTGGAATTTGTGATGAAGGAAATTCGCCTGCAGAGCGGCACAATGTCGGGCTCGATGTCGCGAGCCCACAGCAACCACTCCATCTGCACCGCGGAGATCGGGTGCACGGCATGAGCACGCCTGATGGTGTCGGGGCTCGCCTCCGACAGCCCAATGTACCTGACCTTCCCCTCCTCCACCAGCTTCTTGAGCTCACCTATCTGCAGAAGAAGCACGTCTCAGCATAGCAATTGCAGTGAGCAACCACACCAGTGAAAACACTCATGCATTGTACAGTTATTAACAGGATGAAGGGACTGATGAGGAGACAGGATGAGGGGACTGATCAAGAGACCGTGTCCTCGATGGGGGTGGTGGTGTCGATCCGGTGCTGGTAGTAGAGGTCGATGTAGTCGACGCCGAGGCGGTGCAGGCTGGCCTCGCAGGCTTCGCGCACATACTCCGGCCGGCCGCACAAGCTGGTGCCCCCGGCCTGCAGCTGGATCCCGAACTTGGTGGCCACCTGCACCTGCTCCCTCGGCAGCTGCTTCAGCGCCTGTTCAAGACTTGCCCTTAGTCAGTTAAGTCCCTCTCCTTTACAAAGGAAAAAATCAATGAAGCGACGGGCACGAAGAGACCATACCTTGCCGAGGAGTACCTCGTTGGCGTGGGGCCCGTAGAAGTCGGAGGTGTCGAAGAAGGTGACGCCGCGGCGGAAGGCGTGCGCGATGACGGCGGCGCCGGCGTCGTCGTCGAGCGGGGAGTTGTACGAGCCCGTCAGGCCCATGCACCCCAGCCCCAGCTTAGACACCTTTGTTACGTTGTTGGATCGTTCGGTTCAGTACGTGCTGGCGAGACCGACAAGAGGAGAAGATGACTGATCGGCAGACTCACCTCCAGTCCCTGGGCGCCGAGACCGACGCGAGGAATCACTGGGGTTCTCTCCATCGCGCCGACGAGCGAGCTCACTGGCGGGGACGACATAAACGGATGAGCAGTCGTGAATGTTGCCGGAACTTGCAGGACAGCAGCAGCGAGTGAGTAGACGAGTGGTTCGGTGAGCATAGATGGTTAGCTAAACTTCCGAGTGTTTTATAGAGGGCTCGTCAACTTGGATACGAAGTACTCCCTCCACGTTTAAAAACAGTCCTATACGTTTTTATCAACCCAGATGATGTAAAGTTTGATCAAGTTTATACACAAAATTATCAACAACGTGAACCCGGTCTAATTTCCTTCATAAGAAACTCTCCAAACATCATTATATGCGTTTTTGTTTATAATATTATTTGTTTATACTGAAAAACAAATACTCCATACCATATTATCTGCTTATTACTTACTGCAACTAGCAAAGCTAGCGAGATTGATAACCTCACTAGGACCGTTGGTGGCACATGCAAGTTTTTTTTTAATTATTGCAACACTACTTGAAGAAGACTTAGGTGCTGCCTGTTGATACTTTGGTTCTCAAATGAAAGAAAAGTTACCGCTTGCTACAAACTCTTACTATTCAAATCACAACAACCGGCTACCAATTAAATTTTGGAGTTGGCAAATAACCTCCTTTCCATTGCCTGTCGGGTATGTAACTTAATTACTTAAATACTCTTAGGTGATGTTATGCTCTTCTTTTTTGGAGAGAAACAACAGGACTGTGCCACGTATTTTTATTGATTTTCAGATAATAAAAAGTACAAAAGAGAAGTCTTGAAACCAAAGACTGCAAAACTAAAACAAAACGACAACAAAGAAACAAAGGAAGGAGCTATAGAGGCAGAAGTTACAACAACCATGTAAACGGCTGTGGCCTGAATATCCGTTTCGTTCGTCCGTTTACACGGAATGACATGTCGCGGTTGCTAATACGTTTTTGAATGCCATTCCTAGCATCCGTGGCACGTATTGGCTTGTGTTAATAAGAAGTCATCTTCTCTCCGTACTCTTTGAACGACATGTCGCTGCGGGGAGGGAGAGGAAAGACGTGGGTGCTCACGGCGCGTCGAATGAAGGGATCGGCTGCTTGGGGGAGGCTCTGGAGTCGTCGGGTTGGCGGTCGCGATCTCCGGCGCCCGAGCTTGAAGACGACGACAGTGAGGACGTTTGAGGGCGTCCAGCGGTGCGTGGCTCGACGTAGAGGACGAGGGCGTCGAGGCGAAGCTCATGGGCATGTCGAGGGGACGAGGGGGAGGCGGTGGGTACGGCAACGACGATGTCACGTTTATGGTGGTCTCGGCCATGGCGGGGATCGAACGAGGAGGAGCCAGGGGGAGCGGTGGGGGACGTCTGCTCGATCCAGACGTCTTCCGCGAGCTTGTCCTGCTCACCAGCGCAGCAGGGAGGCAGGGAGGTGGTGTGGCGTGCGGGCGGGCGTGCGCTGTCTCGCCTCTGTCAGTAGGCAAAGGTTGAAGACGACTGGCAAGTGGAGGTGGGCTGGGCCAGGCAAGTTTCCTTTCCTTCTGCCTTTCTCTTTTATTTTACTATTTTCTAATTTTTTCTCTTATGTTTTGATTTAGTAGAAATACTAAATCATTTTTCTTGCTTCTAAAAATTATTTTGTGGACTAGTGGAATAATTCCAAAGCCCCGCGATAAATTTCATAATTATTGGAGCATTTAAAATATTTATAGCATTTAATTGCCCCAATAATACAATATGAGTTAATTTAAAAATCCAGAAATGTTCTAGAAATGTGTGCATCATTTTTGGCAGAAGTTTTCACCCATTTCAAAAATGATGAACTTTTCTGAAGGGCATTTTCGGTTCATTCAGTTGAACCTAGTTGGAAAATTATCTGCTAGGGTTTTGATCATCCCCATTTCAACATTCATTTGAATTTCAACATGATGCACGCATGATTATGCAATGACAAGCAATGACTAAGCTAGGACGATAGGTTAGTGCTCAGCCGTATTTGGTTCTGATTTGGATCGTTAGATGTCATTTTTTGACGGCTGAGATGTTTTGTTACTGCACCGTGTGGTGCTGCTTTTATATAGGTAGAAGTTCCACTGTTTTCTATGTTTAGTGATTTTCATCAGTGAAGCTGCTCAGGTTTGACTCGAGCTAAAGAATAACCCCTGGTGCAAACGATGATGTGAAGTTATTACAAGTTGTGCAGACATAAAAAGCGCATAAAAAGCACCATAGGTACCAAGCATGCCAACAATACGAATGACAATCATGTTATTCAGGATGAAACATGTTCTTACGGATGCAGTCATATAATAGATCTTGTTTACAGATGGCAAATGATAACCGAGGCCCATTTTTGAAGACATCCACAGGGGAAACAACAATGCAGTCACTGTCGAAATGCCTCTTGTTGCTTCAATCAACGGACCTGTCAGAACAACGAAAAAAGCTGTGTAAGTATTGATTTTAAAACACTTGCTCTATAAATTACTAGGTGTGACTACTCTGGATTAAACGAATTGGCATTTCTTTGCACCAGGAAGAAGACATTTGATTCATGGTAAATGGTAAAGAAAACAAGAACCAAGAACAACGACCAGTTTTTTCATTTAAAACAACAGAGAAACCAACACTTCGATTGGGATTAGTCCTTTGACAATATAATATAAATTCATGGTAAAGATTCAGCCATCATGTTCCACAAATTTCCTGATACAGGCCAAATACTAATAACAATTGGAAGATCCAAACTATGTAGCATTAGGACTTACCACAATGGCATTACCATATAGTTTTCCTACTGCAGTTTGGCAAGACAGAGTAACTGAACCAGTTTTTGTCAATGTATTTTAACCACACGTCCGCACCAACAGGTAGAAAGGATAAACCTCAATGCATATAATAAATGAATAGATATATATTAAAGATTCTGGACCTCGCATTCTGCAACTTCTTTACTAAACCCTTCTACTACTAAGTCTACTATTATATGTTCCTGTAAACCATGCTCAATGAATAAGCATCACTTGTCATTGCTCAGATAGCTTACAACATCACACTTGGAATTATGGTACGAAGTTAACTCCTTTACTGAAAAATGAAACTGTGATTCAATATAATAGGTTCGCATAATCGGTGAGCTCACAATCGGACAGAGTTATCTCCATATAGCATCTCAGGGATCGAAACTATCACCATACTACACATTGGACTTCAAGCATGATAACTGAGGCCCATAAAAACTAGAGAACCAGATTAAGCTTCTAGCATGAAAGCTACATGTATGGGCTCAAAACTATCACCATACTACACATTGGACTTTGCTGATGTTGTTTCAATAAACTACACTGGGTCTAGCTATTCTATAACAAGACATCACTTTTAAGGTCCTCTTGTAGTACGCAACATAACCTAACTGCTTTGTCCTAGGTGAGGTGATGAATATGATGTGCAGCATTAACGCAACTGAGAAGTGAATGTTCAACTGAATCTATGCAACTAAAGTATTAGTGAGATATCAACTTTTACTGTTGGTATGCAAGATCAAACTTTTTTTTCTAGCATGATGCAAGATCAAACTCTAAAATCACTAGTTTGGAGAACGTAATTAGATCTGGAAGAAACAAGGTTACCACAAAAATGAACAAGTGCTTACACATAAATCATTACTGACTAAACGTCAGCCTCAGCCTGGCACCCAAAGCCTTCTGCTAGTCTTGGCTTCTTGCGCTCTCGTTCGCCTTCATAAGGGACTTGAAACTGTCCATCAGTAGCAGGCTTATTGTGATCAAACATCAACTTAATCAGAAGAAGTAAGTATAACAACCGAGCAAATCAAATGCAATCTAATAAGTTCTGCCAGGACCAAATCAGTATTTTTCAACATATGAAATTTCAAAAAACTTTAATTACCGTCAGTATCTCATCATCTTCATCTTCACGGTCCTCCTCATCTTCATCCACCTCGTCGTCTTCATCTTCATCCACCACGTCCTCCTCATCTTCATCCACCACGCCCTCCTCATCTTCATCCTCTTCCTCGTCCTTGGCCTTGCCTTCGTTGGGGAATGCTCCAATGGCACCAGAATACTTGGACTGTTCCAGAGCCTGAATACGTATTACAGGGTTGTATGTTAATATTTTTTATTCCAGAGTCCAGACTCTGAATAAACGAGTGACCAATTTCAGACACCGGCCTCCACCACATGATTGCCTTCTGTCCTCAACACGGCGCCATCTGGTCATCCCCTCCAACAGAACCCTCTCCCTCGGCTCACAGCCGAGGTCACCATCTTATCCAGCGGCTACCTCTGCCGCATACACGCCGATGTTGGAACGGCCCACTACCTCAGTCTACCACCACCAGAACTTTAAGACTAGGCATCCGGTTAACCCCTAACACTAATCACTACCCTAGCCACCGACTGGTCACTGATTTCCCCAAACAGACTCGTCGACCGAAGGATCAAATCGGATGAACCAAATCTTACCCCAAACAGGAAGAGCAGAAATTGGACGCACCTTAGTGAAGGCTTCCATCTGTACCTCGTACGAGCAATTGACAACTTTGGCCAACGCGGCCGTGACGCCCTCGAGGTCGTAGTCGCGGAACAGGCTAATAGCGTACGCAGGAAACGGCTTCATCTGTCCGGCAACGGTAAGGATGGAATCCGTGGCACCGCCGTTGCTTTCGCCTGGTTGGCTGCCTGCCATGCTTGCCTTGGATCGGCGGCGGCGGATGCGTCGGCGGCGAAGAGGAGGGGATGAGGCGTGGCTAGGGTTTGCTAATTTTTTTAGGGGTGTTAGCAAGTTTTATTACTCAAACTCCAAATGGAGAGGGATACAAAAAGGATCATGTGGGCTCAACAACCACACGTGTCTTTCCTGAACAAAAGAGTTCAAAAACTTGACTAACCTATTGGCGTCTATATTTGAGGAACTCCCTTCAAAAGTAAAAGAACAATTAAAATATAAAGCTCTTGTCTTAATCTCTCTAATGATAGTACCGTAGCCACCCTTCATACCTCTTTCAATATCGCTAATAACTTGCTTCGAGTCCGAGGCAACTATGAAACTGTTTATCTGCAGATCCTCTGCCAACGCCAGTGCTTCACGACATGCTATAGCTCAAGAGTAGGCACATCAGCAACGCCATGAATTACTAGTGAGGAGCTTCCATATATGTCCCTTGTTCATCTCTACAGACAGCAGCATCATCTCTTGTACTTTGGTTCCTAGACAGACTAACGTCAACATGAATTTTGGTGTACCCAGCAGGAAGCGCCTTTGGCCTAGTAGCCCTTACTTCTCGCGGAGCCGGTGTTTTGGCAATCTTCTTTGGCAGCATCTCCAGGTCCTCAATGAACCTGAGTATGAATTGATGTGTAGCAGCCAGGCTTTGAAATATCTCCTCGTGTATGGCTTTCCTCCTAGCCCACCAAATCGCTCATAAGGTCACAGCAAGCCTAACAAAGCCAGTATGAGATAATGTATCAATCATCGAGAATATCCATTGTTTGGCGCTGGGCTCCGTGGTCGCACAAAGATGTTCTGCCAGTTCGCCATCCACCAGGGCCCAAATGCACCCAACCATGGAGCACTCAAGTAAAGAATGCCGCCATGAATCCTGATACGTCCATTTTGCATCATACTTTTATATCGATATTTATTGCATTATGGGCTATTATTATTACACATTATGTCACAATACTTATGCCTATTCTCTCTTTTTTAGAACGAAGACGCCAGAGGCGTCCGGCTTTAAATTAATAAAGCCCACATAAGGCAGCATCCAACAGGTTCAACACATAACAACAAAGATAAAACAGCCGTAGCCAAGGTACGATACATGGTACCGGCCGAAGCCTGCAAGAGGAGATAAGCAACATAGAGCAATGTGCTGGTCCAAAAGATCAGAGCCTACGGCAGGCTAGTGGCGGGCATCAATCTGGATCGTCCGAATCCGCTCCATCGCCTCCGACATCCGATCCGCATCACGCCGTTTCCCCAACGGCGTCCATGTCTGAAGAAATAAGTGGCATTTGAAAATAATGTCAGCCGGGTGAGAAGGAAATTTGTGCTCGATAGTCATGTTATTGCGGGTGGTCCAAATGGACCACAACAAGGCTCCCATGCAGCGCCATAAGACACGGCCAAAACCACCCCTAAAAGCAGCTAGTAAAGCGCGCAGGTCCGAGGTAGAGCGAGGATCCCAGGTCTGCCCGAACGCCTCCCTAACCGCACTCCAAGCAAAGCGAGCAAGGTGACAGTTAAAAAATATGTGGTTGGCATCTTCATGTTGGCCACATAGCACGCAAGAGCCATCAGAGGGCCCATTCCTACGAGTGATATTATTGGAGGAGGGGAGGCGATCGCGAAACATCTGCCACACGAAGGTTTTGATTTTTAAGGGAATGGCAGCTTTCCATAGCCCCCTAGCTATGTCCAGGGTCGGTCCCTTGGTCAGTTTGTTGTACAAGGATTGGACAGAAAACTTTCCCAAGCGCGAGAGAGCCCAGGAGACCGAGTCGGCCTCAGGACGAAGGTTCACTCCCGCCAGATCAGCTACAAGCCCGTCCCAACAGGCTCGTTCGTTATCAAGCAGGGGTCTTTTGAAAGAGACCGCAGGCGGATTGGTACGCAACGCATCTGCCACTAGGATATCCACGTTAGTAGCAAGCCGATATGCTAAGAAATGGCTTTTCCACAAGGGTTCCGAGCCAAACCAGTGGTCCAACCAAAACCATGTTGAGGACCCATTGTTGACACAAAACTTGGCTCCTAAGGTGAATGCCGGCATAACTTTCTGGATCCCATTCCAAAAAGTTGATCCCTTAGCTTTGGAGGTAAGGAAATTCCCATCTGGGAAGTATTTGGCGCGAAAAACATCCACCCAGAGCCCTTGCTCATTTTGGGAGAGTTTCCAAATCCACTTGGTTAAGAGAGCGACATTCATTAGCTTCGAATTAAGAATCCCAAGACCTCCAAATTTCTTAGGGCGACAGAGCGCGGCCCATTTGATTAGGTGGTACTTCTTTTTGATCCCCGTTACTTCCCAAAAGAACTTGGATTGGGGCGTATCAAGCCTGGCATGAACCCCATCAGCCAGCAAAAGCATGCCCATCGTGAACAGAGGAAGGGAAGACAGGCTAGAGTTAGTTAGAATTAATCTGGCCGCCGAGGAGAGGAAACGACCACGCTAGGGGCTAACTCTATTTGCCACCTTGCCATACAAGGGTTCCCATTCCAGAATGGAGATGTGTTTATCTGAGATAGGCAGGCCCAAATACTTAATTGGAAAGCTCCCTAGCTTACAATTAAGTAAATTGGCTGCATGAGAAGCGAGCGGAGGATCCATCCCAATGGCTATTACCTCGCTCTTAAGGAAATTGATCTTAAGACCAGAGATGATTTCGAAAGCGATGAGAATAAGTTTGACCGAAGCTACGCTATGATCGTCAGGCTCAAAGAGCAGCAAGGTGTCGTCCGCATATTGGAGGTGGGTGAGACCACCCGGAATGAGGTGAGAGACCACTCCGCGTATGTGACCAGCGTCCTTAGCCTTATGGATCATGGCTGATAAGGCGTCCGCAACAAAGTTGAAAATCAGGGGCGAGGAGGGATCCCCTTGCCTGAGACCTCTTTTGTTGCGGAAGAAGTTCCCAACCTCTCCGTTGATCGACACCGCGGTCTGGCCACCCGAGACCAAATGCATGATGCGGTGGACAAAGCCTGACTCGAATCCCTTCCGAGTCAACACCTCGCGGATGAACTCCCAGTTCACGCGATCATATGCTTTCTCAAAGTCAAGCTTTAGGAGCACGGCCTATTGCCCGGTGCGTTTAAGCTCATGGATAGTCTCCTGCAACACTATCGGCCCTTCGAGAATGTTGCGGCCTTTGAGAAAGCCAGACTGACTACGGTTTATAACGCGCTGCGCGACCGGAGCAAGTCTGGTCGCATACGCCTTTGAGCAAATCTTGAAAGGTACGTTAATGAGAGTGATAGGACGGTATTGCTTGATAGTGTCGGCCCCTTTGACTTTGGGAATAAGGCTAATCACGCCATAGTTAAGGCGCAAAACATCTATCATACCTAGAGCAAAACCATTGATAATCCCGTAGAAAAGGTCTTTAAACATCGGCCAGAAGCGTCGGAAAAACGCGACCGGCCAGCCGTCCGGGCCAGGCGCCGTGTCAATCTTCATTGCACCCACGGCTTCGTCGATCTCCTCCGTGGAGAAAGTCAAAGCCAAGAGGTCATTTTCGACTTGAGACACGCGGCCCTCTTCCCCCCAGAAGTCTGCCCGGAGCTAGAGGCGCTTTTCCTCATCTGTTCCCAACAGATTAAGAAAGAAGTCATAGATATGTGCCACGATGTCAGCCTGACTAACCAAAATCCCTTGATCAGATTGAAGTCTCAAAATCGAGCACTTCCGTTTACGACCGTTGGCATAGGCGTGGAAATATCCCGTATTCGCATCGCCCTTGGTAACCCACTTGACGCCGCCCCGACGGTGCCAATATTCCTCCTCCTCCCTAAGAATGGCGAGCACCTGGTTCTCGAGAGTGTAACGGTGGGCCCATTCGGCTTCCAGGAAGGGTCTGGAGTCAGCTTGTTCGTCGAGGGCTTTGATTTCAGCAATCATAGCTTCCCGAGCGTGCTTCGCTTCGCTCCCGTGGTTTGCACCCCACCCATGGAGGAAACCCTGCAGGGTCGCAGCCGCCGCGATCCAAGTGTCCAAAGGACCCCTAGAGCAGCCGACCGCTGCTCTGGCCCGCTCCCAGCGCGCCATGAGCAAGGGCTCGAAGCCCTCTATCTCAAACCACCCAGTTTCAAAGAAGAAACGGGGGCCGTGCTTGATCCGGTCCTCCCCCGAGGCTAGGATCAGTGGCACATGATCCGACCCAATACGCGTTTCCGCAACCAGCGTACACATGGGGAATAACACTTCCCAGTCGGAGGATACAAACACCCGGTCCAGAACACTGCGCACCGGCGACAGTTGCTTGTTGGTCCACGTGAATCTAGCACCAGTCCTAGCAATCTCCCGCAGGGCGCATGATGCAATCGTATTATTGAACAAGTTAACTCTAGGCCAGTCAATGTTAGGGTTATTCTTATCCGCTCTCGAATGGATAAGGTTAAAATCACCCCCAAGGACAATGGGGATGTTGGCGCCTTGCTTAGCCCCAACCAAGCTTTGGATTTCTCCCAAGAAATCAGCCGCCCTAGAGTGGTCAGCCGGGCCGTAGGCGCAAACAATTGCCCAAGTAGCAAGCGAGATCCTGTGTTTAATCGTGACAGAAATGAAGAACGCGCCCACATCCCAGCTTACAACATCGCATACATCACTGTTACATCCCAAAAGGAGACCACCAGAATGGCCTACAGACGGCACCCAGCCCCAGACAAAACGATGGAGAGGATCGTAGGCAGCCAAATCTCTATACGTGAAATCAGCTTTAATCGTCTCCTGGAGCGCAACCACGTCAATGCGCTCCCTAGCAATGTATTCTTTAAGCTGGGTCCGATGACCAGCGTGGCCGCAACCCCAAATGTTCCAAAAAAGGTAGCGCATCTAAATAATACGGTTGCGGAGGTGCACCCCCCTGGATGTCACCGGTTTTGCCACGCGTTTTTTTAGCCGGGGCACGGCTTGTCGAGGGGATAGCCTCCACCTCCATGGCGTCAGCGCTCCCACTCGCCACCAC